GTTCATTCCCTACACATTTATATTACACATGAGGTGTTGGGGGAACCCGCGGGGAATAAAAGTGTGGAGGTGCTGTGTCCTTCGCTCTGTTCTCCTCCTACATGGCTGTTAGTGTGTGTGCATCTGTGTGTGCATGTGTTTGTATATGTGTGTGTGTGTGTGAGTGTGAGGGTGGACAACATGGACAGGCTGCTAACAGGCTACAGCTGCTAAAGGAGAACGCTATGCTGGCCACTTGTGATATTTTAAACGTCTGATATTTTTACATAAGTTGTTACGGCTGTATTGATTTAAAAAACAATGATGCGGTGGATCCACCAGACCACTGAGTAACAAACACATCAACACCACACAAGCGTTAAGCATTCAAATGGTAGGTTGAGTTGTCATTGTTCTATGTATGGACATGTGCAAAAGTATGGGCACCCCTAAGCACAATCGCCATTCAAGTGCTGAATTTAACATAAACCATAAGAATGTATCCTTTATGTTTCTCACACTAACAGAAATGATAAATATGTATGATACATTTAATCAATTCATAATAATAATAGAAATTGTGCACTAACATTTGCGGAAAAATAAAATCCAATTTTTTTTTGTTTGTTTTCCTGCGTCATTTGAGGACAGCAACTGCCCTTTACGCTGTGTGAAAATGTCCTGATGGGTTGACCAGTGGCCAACAGAAATGCTTTAAAATCTCTTGGAATTAAATCTCTTGACATTAGCTTACATTAAAAGTGACCGTTATGGAGATAGTTGGGTTTATTAGGACAGAGATAAAAGGTAGAGGGTGTGTTAACTTATTTTCACTTACATCAAATGTGATTTGACTAGGGGAGTTCCAGCTTTTGGATATGACTCTATCATTATAGCCTTTACTAAAGAACCCATTTTTAAGGGTGTATCTAAACGTGGCTGTGCTGCGTCTGATTCAGCCCTGATGAAAACGTTTGGCCTTTTAGTTCTAATAAAGAGCACTTTTTCCTTGTGGGGACAAGAGAAATGTTTCCTCATCTGTAAAATGAATACGTTTTCCATCAGTGACATTTACTTCCTACGAAGAGCTTAATGCATCTCATTATGTTATTCTGTTTGTAGAATGCCATTCGTCAAATGTTGATAAATACTGAAGGAATAAGGAAAACCTATCGACTTCTGCCGGCAACATGGCGCTCGGAGGAAAGCTGATCATCACATTTCTCAAACAGAAAGTAGAGTGACTGAGCAAAGGTGAACATTCATGAAAAGCCTAGTCAGATATATAGAGAACCTGGAATACTGTAATACATCTTAAACACTGAGAGAGAGAGAAAGAGAGAGAGAGAGAGAGAGAGAGAGAGAGAGAGAGAGGGAGGGAGGGAGAGAGTGACAGAGAAAGAAAGGGAAAAAAGAGAGAGGGAGAGAGAGAGAGAGGGAGAGTGACAGAGAGAAAGAGAGGGAAAAAGAAAGGGAGAGAGGGAGAGAAAGAGAGGGAGAGAGGGGGAGAGGGAAAAAGAAAGAGAAAGCAAAAGAGAGAGGTACAGAAGTCCAGAAAGGCCATGAGGTAGTTTTTTTGATATATCAAGTTAATTATCTTGTTATCTCAAGATAACAAAATTGTAAACAAAATAACAAAATTGTTATCTTAAAATAAGTTACTTATCTTGTTATCTCAACATAACAAAAGTTGTTATCTTGAGATAACGAGTTATTTATCTTGTTATCTCAACATAACAAAAGAGGAGGAGAAGAGTGAGTGAGAGGAAGAGAAGGAGAGAGAGAGAGAGAAAGAAAGAAAAAGAGAGAGGGGAAGAGTGAGCGAGAGAAAGAAAGAGAAGGAGAGAGAGAGGGTGAGAGAAAGAAAGAGAAAGAAAGAGGGGAAGAGTGAATGAGAGAAAGAGAAAGAGTGAGGGAGAGAGAGAAAGAAAGAAATACTGTAATACATAAAGACAGAGAGAGGGAGAAGGAGAGGGAGGGAGAGATGGAGAGAGAGAAAGAGAGAGAGAGAGAGAGAGAGAGAGAGAGAGAGAACTAGAACAGCACAAAAACTTGATTTACACATCTACAATAGACACAATGCGTCTCATGATTAAATCTGATGTCAAGTCATTCAGAGTGGTTTGATGTGAAATGGTTCAGATGTCTTTACAGTGGTGCTGATAGGAACCAGGGGTCGCCATGACTACAACACTAATATAGCCATTTTAATTACTATCCAAAACCACCAGTGAACCTACACTGAGTTTATATGGAATATTAATGATGGTGAAACGGTGATAAAACTGATAAAAAATGTTTTCTTTGGGGACTATTTTGCCTCACGACACCCTTCATGTACTTCTCTGCTACAAATGGATTTTAAAAATATGTTTCAGGCCAAAACCGTCCCAAAACTAGTGTGAAATAATAACCTGGGCGTCAGGCAGCTTATTTGTAAAAATGTATTGTTTTAACTTTCTGTGAAGGAGCTTTTAGAGGCATTAAACTCCTCAGACGTCTGGTTCCTATCACCACCACTGTGAACAGTGAGTTTCTCTAAAATGGAGCATTTCAGATTAACTACTCTAAATGACTTTGCTTACATCTCAATGATTTAATCATACCGACATTTGAAAAATGGGAAAAAATCCACTTTAATATGTAGCTTTACTTTACATAGAATACAAATAGACACAGCTCATCCATTCAATCAAACAGAGCAGTTTCTGGACAGTTGGGATCCATAAGTCGCAGCTCTACACACGAGAAACAACCTACAACATCGTATTCATTATTGAGTAGAATAAATAATAAGATCAAATCAATAAATCCCAAACACTTGTCAGCGCCACCTGGTGGCCTGACCCATATATGATTTACAGCCATATAGGCACGTGTATCAGAAAAGGTCAGGCATATATTTCAAAATATCTCTAAATACTGTATATGCTGTGTATATATTTATGTATCAAATGTTGAACATATATGCATGATATATTTATCATATACATATGTCTGATACATGGTTAAGTACACTATATATGTCACCATGTCATCCATTTAATTATATATATTAACATGTAAGGCAACAATATATTCATTTATTTCATGTTTTACTGATTTTATTGTTCATGGTTTTAGTTAAATATCTGTGTTACAGATGTATGTTTTTTGTATGTTCATATGTGGCTGAAATATAAGCACTATATTAGAAAATAGCCAATTTCAAATAAGTTGGTATGTGTCCATATGTGGCAAATATAAGTTGGATATAAGAGAAATCCGTTTATGCTAATGTATGTATGTCATATATTGGCATTAATCAGAAATTCAAATGAGGAACAAACGTCGCCCTCTACTGTTCAAAAGGTGTTATCAATGGATACAAGCTAAACAACATAATTATAGCTGTGTTACCTCCAAATATTCAGCTATACTTTCCATTATATATGATCAAAACGTTAACTGTCGGTTAAAGACGGAAATGCAGCTTTTACGTTTGCTTTCCCATAACGGACTACAAAGTCTGACGCGCTGATGACGTAACTATCATACATCCGGCGTAGCGGCGACTGCTCCCAGCCATGGGATTTGTAGTTCAATTGTAGTTAATGTAGTTCATGGCTCAGCAAAATACTCGTGTGATATTGGATTCATTGTCGCTGTGCTTATGCGGTCGCAAACCGACTGTTTTACTAAAGGTCCAGCTTTAAGCCATTTTAATTCTCAGAACTTTCCAAAATGAAGTCAAAATGTTCTGAACGCGACCAGCAGATGGCGCCGCTCTGCCTCCCTGCAGTAAGAAGCGGTCCTGTTAATAAAATAATAATTTATCAAATATTTATTATAATTGTTAGTCTAAGACTTTAACCAAATATTATTATTATTTTGGTAATAATAATGCTTGCTATTGATTATTGTAATATGTTATGTATATTATGTATGTATAAATAAACAGTTTATATATACACACCGATCAGACATAACATTATGACCACCTCCTTGTTTCTACGCTCATTGTCCACTTTATCAGCTCCACTTACTATATAGGTGCACTTTGTAGTTCTACAGTTACAGACTGTAGTCCATCTGTTTCTCTGCATACTTTGTTAGCCTCCTTTTACCCTGTTCTTCAGTGGTCAGGACCCCCATGGACCCTCACAGAGCAGGTACTATTTGGGTGGTGGGTCATTCTCAGCACTGCAGTAACACTGATGTGGTGGTGGTGTGTTAGTGTGTGTTGCGCTGGTCTGAGTGGATCAGACACAGCAGAGCTGCTGGAGTTTTTAACACTGTGTCCACTCACTGTCCACTCTATTAGACACTCATACCTTGTCAGTCCACCTTGTAGATGTAAAGTCAGAGACGATAGCTCATCTGCTGCTGCACAGTTTGTGTTGGTCATCCTCTAGTCCTTCATCAGTGGTCACAGGACGCTGCCCACAGGACGCTGTTGGCTGGATATTTTTTGGTGGTGGACTATTCTCAGTCCAGCAGTGACACTGAGGTGTTTAAAAACTCCAGCAGCACTGCTGTGTCTGATCCACTCAGACCAGCACAACACACACTAACACACCACCGCCACATCAGTGTTACTGCAGTGTTGAGAATGATCCACCACCCAAATAGTACCTGCTCTGTGAGGGTCCATGGGGGTCCTGACCACTGAAGAACAGGGTAAAAGGGGGCTAACAAAGTATGCAGAGAAACAGATGGACTACAGTCTGTAACTGTAGAACTACAAAGTGCACCTATATAGTAAGTGGAGCTGATAAAATGGACAATGAGCGTAGAAACAAGGAGGTGGTCATAATGTTATGCCTGATTGGTGTATATACACATAGTTAACCATGGAAACATTTCCATGTACAGGAGAAGGAAAACTACATAAATTATTTTTAAAGATATACATAACCAAACTGAGTAATTAGTGAAACAAAATAAGTACAAAAATCTACTATAACAAGTTAAAAAATAATAATAATAACAGAAGAAAAGCCTTGCAGGGTGCTGTGGTGTGTGTACTGCGCATGCGCGCTGGTGCTGTAAGGACACGTGTGTGTTTCGTCTCCCGCTGACAGTCCGGTCCGCAGACATGGAGGAGAAGGTTGATTTGGACCTGGAGGATTTTTCCTCCGAGCCACTTTTTGACTCCTTGGTCAAAGAAATAATAGAGCAAGACCCGACATTCCTAATCGGGATTTTCGTCGCCATAGCAGCTGTTATAATAACAATAGGTAAGCATGCTAAGCTAAAGCTAACGTTAACGTGTATACGTGTTAGTCTGGTTAGCTTAGCAGGCTAACAGGTTCTCTGACAGGAGAGGAGCGCTTAGCCAGTTCACTTATTCTGCTGTTTTCTTTATTCGAGTCTAAAGTTGGCTTTTTTATTCGCCAACCTCTTTCGGTTCCACCTTAAATTGTGCATTAGCAGCAAGTAACTGCTGCACCATTTAAGGCGGAACGCAAAATTCGGAGGAAGCCAACTTCATCCTCTGAAGGTCTGACCTGTTAACCTACTATCAGGAAGCCCCTAAGGTTTCATGGTGATTATTCTTTAAATAAGGTGTGGCGACGAATTAATGTATTGAGACAATGACTTAATATATCAAGGCCACGAGTTATGAAAAACTTAACTTGTCGGAACAATATAATAAGTCGTGGCCTCAATATAGTAATTTGTTATCCCAGTATATTAATTTGTGGCCTCAATATATTCATTTGGGGCCACGCCTTTTAAAAAATATAATCATCGTGTCGCCTTAGAGGCTCTGTAGTTTCATCTCCTTGAGAAGCCAGTTTCATCCTTGTCACCTTTTTGCCAAGTCACACCTGTTTTATTATGGAGTCCCTAAAGTGACGGTGATTATTCTTTAATATAATGAATATATTGAGGCAACAAATTACGAAACTGGGGCCACAGATTACTGGAGGGCCGGTGTCCAGCACAGTTTGGAGGTTTTCCTACTCAAACACACCCACTAAACCTGCCAATTAGCAGAGAAGTGTAATCAGGTGTGTTTGAGCAGGTAAATCACCAAACTGTGCTGGACACCCTCCAGGACTGGAGTTGTGCACCCCTGCCATAAGTTATGAGAAACTTAACTTGTGGACCTTGTATTTTAACTTGTGGCCTGAGTATAGTAACTTGTGGCCCCTGTATTTTAACTTGTGGCCTCAGTATAGTAACTTGTGGCCCCTGCATTTTAATTTGTGGCCTCAGTATAGTAACTTGTGGCCCCTGCATTTTAATTTGTGGCCTCAGTATAGTAATTTGTGGCCTGAGTATAGTAACTTGTGGCCCCTGTATTTTAACTTGTGGCCCCTGCATTTTAATTTGTGGCCTCAGTATAGTAACTTGTGGCCCCTGCATTTTAACTTGTGGCCTGAGTATAGTAACTTGTGGCCCCTGTATTTTAACTTGTGGCCTCAGTATAGTAACTTGTGGCCCCTGCATTTTAATTTGTGGCCTCAGTATAGTAACTTGTGGCCCCTGCATTTTAATTTGTGGCCTCAGTATAGTAACTTGTGGCCCCTGTATTTTAATTTGTGGCCTGAGTATAGTAACTTGTGGCCCCTGTATTTTAACTTGTGGCCCCTGCATTTTAATTTGTGGCCTCAGTATAGTAACTTGTGGCCCCTGCATTTTAACTTGTGGCCTGAGTATAGTAACTTGTGGCCCCTGTATTGTAACCTATGGCCTGAGTATAGTAACCTGTGGCCCCTGTATTTTCATTTGTGGCCTCAGTATAGTAACTTGTGGCCTTAGTATTTTAACTTGTGGCCTCAGTATAGTAACTTGTGGCCCCTGCACTTTAATTTGTGGCCTCAGTATAGTAACTTGTGGCCCCAGTATTTTAATTTGTGGCCTCAATATAGTAATCTGTGGCCAGGCCTTATTAAAACATAATTGCCATTTCACCTTAGAGGCTCTGTAGTTTTACGTCCTTGATAGTTGAATAACGTGGCAAATAAAAATAACCTTTTAAAGCAGCCAGTGTTTGTCGAATAATCAGCTGCTGTGTCTCTACATTTTAGTGTTTTTTAAGTTTTTCATCGGCACCCAAACAAAAAGAAGTAGCATTCTACTGGTGGGTTTGTGTGATGCAGGCAAAACTCTTCTCTTCAGTCGGGTAAGTTGTTTCTCCACTAGTTTTTATATAAAAAAAAATAAAAAAATAAAAATAATAAAACAGGTTTACAGAAGGGCTGAACTGTGTTGGTTTCTCTCTCTCAGCTGCTGACAGGAAGATTCACAAGGACCCAGACGTCCATCAGTGAGAGCAGTGCATCCTACAGGGCAAAAAGTGAGAGGGTAAGAAAATAAGAGTGGAATTACGCTGATTACTGAAGTTCAGGCTAAACACATCTGTTTCTTCATTAGTATCTTGAGTACAAGTTACAAGGAAGTACCACTGATTTTTACATATATATATATATGGTTTTATATATATATATATATATATATATATATATATATATATATATATATATATGGTTAAGATGTAAAAAGAGTCATTCAGAGTGGTTTGGTGTGAAATGCTCTGTTCTAGAGAAATTTACTGAGTCAGAATTGTTTAGAGTGGGGGTGATAGGAACCAGATGTCTGAAGAGTTTAATGCCACCATAAGCTCCCTCACAGAAAATTATTACACTAAATGGATTTGATTATGCGGCTAGATGACTGAGACATTGTTGTACAGTAGTTTTAAGAAGCTTTTGGCCTAAAATATATTTAACAGTTATTTTTTACATTTAAACCATCAGTGGCAGAGGGATGCATGATGGTGTTGTAAGGCAAAACAGTACCCAAACAAGACGTCTTTTACCTTTGACAACATTACATATAAGAACCTGTTTCTATCACCACCAATGTAAAGAAGTCTTTGTCTGTAACTTTCTTTGCAATAAGCCATTTTCACATCAAAGTTCATTTACATCTCAAAGATTGAATTGTACAAAGATTTTGAAAAATTTGTAGAATTCTCCATTTTCATCCATCAGTGTTTTCTCACTACAGTATGCACTTGTATCATACAATCCTTGGGAAACTCTTCAATTCAGAAAAACTACTTGGTACATCCAGCATCTTTCAGCATAGGAAATTAAAAAGCTAAAGCCATGAAGCAAGAAAACTTACACCAAAATAGAATAAAAATAGATGATTTAAAAATAATTAATATATTAAAGAAACACAGTAAGAGAGCAGATCACAATCACAAGCCCCACATCGTGCAAAACCGGATTTTCCTCACTTTTTTTAAATAAGAGTTTATTGTAGTACGTAAACATTGTTAAAGTTTCAAAACATACTATACCGTGCATATATTTATTTATAGAAACAGTCTGTTTTGATTTCACCACGTCTGTGATGTCACAAAAACCATCACGTTCACATATATCCACCTATTCAGCCTACAGCAGTTTAGCCCCGCCCATTCACACTGAAGTTATAAAGCATGTTTTAGCCCAGACTGCTTTTTTAATGAGGTACAGTACAAGGCAGCCAATCAGAACCAAGGTCATTTACATATCAGTCTTAAAAGTAACTAAAAAAACCTGTTTGATTGAAGGGAGTAAAGAGAGGCTGGAAAATTAAATAAGAGGCTTGAGTATCAACAAAGCAGTTGTGGAGCTGAACCAACACAGCAGATTGAAGTTAAACCCTAAAAAGGAATTAGGAGCTAAATGTTAATGAATACAATGAAACTGAAAAAGTATTTACAGAAAATAAGAGATCTGTTGGTTTTTTATTAAATTAATGGAACTGAGTAAGTTTAACTAACCTCTGCCTCTCCTGATGTGCAGGGAACCACCTGGACTCTTGTTGACCTTCCTGGTCATGAAAGTCTGAGACCTCAGTTTGTGGAGAAGTTCAAGGCGTCTGCCAGGTGAGACGGTTACCCTGAAGGTTTGAAGTCCGAGCACGCTGGAGTGTAATCAGTGGTAGCTTCAAATATCCCTAGCTTCAGTGTAGTTTCACTGTGGAATTGAATAGTGATTACAATTGGTCACTACATCTCAATCAGAAATGTAGCTGACCCTGAGTGGCCAGTTAGTAGTTAAGTCAGATACACTTGTCGTATAGGTGCCACTGTTAACGAGTAGCTCATCTGCTGTTGTGCAGTGAATCAGTCCTCCTCTACCCTCCTCTGACCTGAGTAGCCTGCCGCTTTATTACGTGTCTATACATATTTGCAGTTTGAAGGAGTGGGAGCCACAGAGTGCTGCTGGCTTCAAATGTGACTCTGTTTGCAGGGCATGATGAGAAAATTAGCCTGAAGGTTTTTTGCGCATGTCACAAGAAGCCTGTTTAAACCTGCTTAATAACCAACCGGCATAGCTGTCCAGTCTCACAGATAGACTAGGTTAGATAAGAACTGCTGGTTTCCTGTAAGAATGTTTTCACACTCGGACCCAGGACTGCTTGTTCTGAAAGGAAAGGCGCTGTGCACCCAAAAAGTGCTGTTCTTCATCGCTTGAGTGTTTGTTTCCAAGGAAAATAATAAAAAGCACCAACAGATGAAGCTAGTGCCGACCATCTCGCAAACCTGCATGTGGAAAAGTGACTTATGGAATTGCGTGATCGATCCACGCTTTAGATGGAATTCTTGTGTTTGAAGGCAAACCAGCAATAATGAGCCCCTCCCCGAAACGAGCCCAGAATAGACCACTGTAGTCGTGTCGTCATTTTGTAGATGGCGCCATGCTCTTATGCCCATATTAGGAACTCCAGGTCTAAGCCCAATTTCTCTATGGCCAGAATGAATAGGGTTTTTTTGAAAAATTGTCTTTATCACACCCTGTGTTAAATAAAAATGTTCAGAACCCGATACGTTTGACCTGTGAATATTCTTCTCTCGAATATCTCTGGATCCTCTGACTACAGAATGACGCATGACCACAGTGGTCTATTTCTTCTGGGTGCAGATTCACGTATTCCAGACCATCTTTTGTCTTTGTTTATGGTCTCATTTCGCTCTCCAGTGGCATCCCAGAAACTGTCAATACTGAGTTTGGATGCGTGTTTGCAGTGCACTGCCTAGTGTTACTAGCAAATTAGAGGCAAGTGTGCTGATTTTGCGTGTTGGCATTTACTGTTTAAACAGCCGCTCTTCATTGAGTAGCACTGACAGCAAATGAGCGGGCCAGACTAATAAGATCTGCTAGTACTGCTCATACATCAGACATACTTTGTGTGAGGGCTTGGACTATGAAGAAACAGTCTGATTGCTGAATTAAACATCCTGGCTGACTGATGCGAGGAGTAAACAATGTTCGTTTTTTAGTTTATTTCGAATCAGTTGGTTACTGTAGGACCAGGCAGTGGACCATTTACATTATAGCAGTGATGCCAGTTGTGTTGTATTGTGTTAGTACAGTGGTCTCTTTTACATGCTTGAACAGGTTCTTTCCATTTTGATGATGTATGTATAACTCACGGTTGTTATCCTCACGTGTCTAGAGCGCTCATTTTTGTAGTGGACAGTGCAGTCTTCCAGAAAGAGGTGAAGGATGTAGCTGAGTTTCTCTACTCTCTGCTGACGGACGGTGTGGTGATCAAGAATGCCCCGTCACTGCTGATTGCATGCAACAAACAAGGTATGACCCCACTGTTGCACTCACAGAAAGCACAACACTTATATATAACACTTATCATTGTCCATTTTATCAGCTCCACTTACTATATAGGTGCACTTTGTAGTTCTACAATTACAGACTGTAGTCCATCTGTCTCTCTGCATACTTTGTTAGCCCCCTTTTACCCTGTTCTTCAGTGGTCAGGACCCCCATGGACCCTCACAGAGCAGGTACTATTTGTGTGGTGGATCATTCTCAGCACTGCAGTAACACTGATGTAGTGGTGGTGTGTTAGTGTGTGTTGCGCTGGTACGAGTGGATCAGACACCAGAGCTGCTGGAGTTTTTAAACACTGTGTCCACTCTCTGTCCACTCTATTAGACACTCCTACCTTGTAGATTTAAAGTCAGAGACGATAGCTCATCTGCTGCTGCACAGTTTGTGTTGGTCATCCTCTAGTCCTTCATCAGTGGTCACAGGACGCTGCCCACAGGACGCTGTTGGCTGGATATTTTTGGTTGGTGGACTGTTCTTAGTCCAGCAGTGACACTGAGGTGTTTAAAAACTCCAGCAGCACTGCTGTGTCTGATCCTACAAAGTGCACCTATATAGTAAGTGGAGCTGATAAAATGGACAATGAGCGTAGAAACAAGGAGGTGGTCATAATGTTATGCCTGATCGGTGTGTATATATGTATGAAGTGTTGTGCTTTCACTGTGTTTTCATATATATGCTTCATTTGTGCAGCATTGATGGTACAAGTTTGGAGATTATTTTGTGAATGGAAGGCCATTACTGTGGGTCAGATGTTTAGGAATTCAGGGGGCTCAATGAACCTTATAAACTACAGATTGTCCTCTCAAAGTTGCATAAACAAGTTTACATTATACTGATTTGAAAATGATGGTTTCTCTCTATTGTAGATATTACCATGGCAAAGTCGGCCAAACTGATTCAGCAGCAGCTGGAAAAGGAGCTGTGAGTGTCCACTTTTCAAAACACTTCCACTTGCATTACTAATAAACATAATGACCGTAGCATCCAACTGATTGACTGCAGCCAAATTTGAAGAAATTTGAAGAAATTGTTTTATTTTAGTGGTGTGCATTAATTAAAAAAAACAAATTAATCACAATAATAGGTTGTGATTAATCATGATTAATCGTGAAGTTTAAATAATATTTACTTGTATTTTTAGGGGGAGATAAAACAAATAAAAGGATTCATGAATTGTGTGGCAGTGAAAAGGCGTGGCTAAATTGTGCTTCTGATGTGCCAGCATTGCCTTCAGTGTATCTTTGTTACGTTGGACCCGGTTTATCCTTTCAAGAGTTGAATTCCAGCGCGTGGGTACATCCTGGACGGGTGTCTCCTCTTCCTGACCATGAGAGGCTGAACTTTCAGCTTGTCCGACGGTCCGAAGTGCTTTTACGGCACTTGGTTAAAGCATCGACAAACCCGCTGTCATGGAGAGTCACTGTGATGACCCTCTGTATAATGGGGGGTATATATGCTTGAACGGTAGCTTTGTTGCTGCTGCGATCATATTGCGAGTGCTATCTGTTCCCATAGTGGTGACCTGTAGTCGTCCCGTTCCAGAGTGAACTTTAGTTTTATCTAAACTAAATCTGGAAGCTTTTTAAAACGAAACTCATTCGTCATTCAGCACACCAGGGGACGTTTCCTTAGTCATCGTGTTTGTTTGTTTGCACCTTTCAGTAAATTCACGCGGGAATTATGGGAGGAAGTTGGGGTCAAACTTGGTAATATAATTCATTTGCTTAAAGGTTTTAAGATGAATCACGAGCGTTAATGCGTTAACGTTGACAGCCCTATTTTATTTATATATTATGTTTTATGATGGATAATATACTGTAGTCATATTTTGGGTAATTTTCTTGATAAATTATCTGCCTTAAGATTTGATCCCAGATATAAGCCATTCAAAATGCAAGGTTACTAGAACGTCATTCTTAATGTTGTACAGCTTTGTCAGTCATTTTGAAATCATGTACATGTTTTTGGGCTCCTGACATCTCTTAATTTTTTATAGCTTTCCTACAAATTAGTTGAAGATTAGTAGTTGAAGACTAGTAGCTTCAAAAGAGCCATTTTATATATATAAAATGGGGTTTAAACTATGTTTACTTTATTCTTGTTTGAAAAAAATGGCACAGAATGCTGCAGTGGGAACACAATGTATAGTTTCTGTTTAGAAAGAATCAAAATGAAAAATGTTTCTAATATCTGATTCTGTAAAAATGATCCAGAATCATATATTGACCACTTTTCAAATGAGCTGGTTTTGATGTTTATCACATTTGGTTCCAGTCCAAGTCCCTGTTAACTTTCGTACATTCTCCAGCTCAGCATATTTGTAGAGAACTGTTCTTTTAAGGTGCTGATCCTCATTTGTCTTCACAGGAACACTCTGAGGGTGACTCGCTCTGCGGCCCTCAGCTCTCAGGACGGCTCCATCGGGGCTGCGGTGCACCTGGGGAAAAAGGGGAAGGACTTTGAGTTCTCCCAGCTGCCCATGAAGGTGAAGTTTGTGGAGTGCAGCGCCCGCGGCAGCAAGGGGGAAGAGGGGGACGCTGATGTCGAGGCTTTGGAGATGAGTCTGGCCAAGCTGTGAGGGACTGTTTGTTCCTGTTTCATCCCATTCAACAACTCCCTCTTAATGCCTCCGTTTGCATTAAAATTCTTTCCTTGCTTTCTAGTCAGTATTGCTTTTTCATTTTAAAACTTTAGGAGTATGAATGCTTTCTTCCGTTCACACAGGGACAAAGAAACTGACAGTCCATTTGCTCCAAGTTTACTGCAAGATTGATATCCAGGGTATTGGCAAGAGTCCAAGTCTTTGGACTGCTTTTGAGCTCCCCTGTCAGATTATGAACTGTTATTTATTTTTGTGTGCAGATGATGATGCTGGTTGAGGTACAAGACGTTTGTTACATTCATTTGTTTTATCCTGGTCTGCTTTGTGCCTTAGGTCTGAGAGCCAGATGACTGTAGTCTTGGTTGTGTATCAGCTTTAAACAGCCTGTAAATAAATGACTGTTTTGAGATTGCTGCCTCATTAAATTTGTTCAGGGTTTTGCACTGATTTTTCTGGGTTTAATTACATCATAGCCAGCTCTGTCTCTGTCTTCAAAATAGCAAGTTTCTTTTTTCTTGCTGACATTAAAGGGGAACTCCACCGATTTTTCAAAATTTCTGCTTAATTAACTGGTTAATGTGTCAGCAAAATCATTGAGTAGTTTGGTGTAAAATGCTATATTCCAGAGAAACTTACCGAGTCAAAATTGTTCACAGTGGTGGTGATAGGAAACCAGATGACCACCTCTAAAAGCTCCCTCACTGAAAGTTATTACATAGAACGGTTATGAGTGCACTGCCCGATGCCTGAGACATTTCTTTGCAGTAGTTTTGTGACAAAATGTTTGGTCTTCAAAAGGTATTTTACTAATTTATTTTAATCAATTTATGGTGGGGATGATACAAGAAGGGTGTAAGGCAACACAGTCCCCTAAAGAAAAGTTATTAAGCTCATTTTTTTCAGATTGACCACTGTTTTACCATCAACAGTTCGTAAATATATAAAAACCCAAAAATCAACATGGTGATTCTGGATAGTAAATAAACTGGCTTTATTTGCAGTGTAGACATCAGGACGTCTGGTTCCTAACCCCCCACTGTAAAGAAATGTAAGTCAGTATGTTTGTCTACAAATGAACCATTTCACATCAAACAAATCTTAAAGACTGAAAGAAAAATCAGTGGAATTCACCTTTTTAAACATGAAGCAGTGTTTGGGTCACTGTTGGTCTGTCAGTTGTTTACACTGTTTGTCAGAAAGACCAGATTACACACCTTTACTCCAGCATTACTGTAAAACACTTCTGTTAGTAAATAAAGGGGAAATAACTGCACAGCGAACATCCAAGTATGACTACTAGTATGACTATAAAATAATTCAGTGATTTACTGTGCAGTCACACAAATTAGTTTGTCCATTTACTGTCTATAAATTCAGTAATTTTGAAGCGCTAAAGCATTAAAGGCAAACTCTTCCTTTCAGTGTGTGTTCATTAGAGCACAGAAATGACCGCAGTTTAGATGAAACACAGCCTTGGTGACCTCAAGTTTTAATTATATCAGAAGACCGTCTAGACATGCACAGCAGACGCACGCAAACAACTAAAAAAGAAACAAATCAATAGATGGAAACAGCTCTGTTAGGTAAGGGTGGGTGATATGGCAAGATAACATCGGGATACTTGCCATTTTACAATACATGATATGTATCCAAGGTTTGTTATTGCCATATATGCCAATATTTTTTTTTAACTATTTAAGAAATCAAATGATGAGTATGAGTAAATGTAATAGCATAATGCACTGAGATCCTGAAACCACTTGTTACTATGCAACAGGTGTTTACAGGCTCTCTATCACTGGACTAGTTTTTTTTAAATTGCATTTGTTCAGTGGTCTGGAACAGCAGTTCTCAAACTGGAGGCCATGGAAAAATACCAGAAGTTGAATCTCTGCTTAGTAAGTTTTAATTTGGTCAAAATGGTTGTAGAAAGTGGTACTTATGTAATAATGGTAGCAATTATTAAAGGGGATCATTCAGGGCACTGAAATGAAGAATGTTGAACAGAAAACATTTCAGATTTACCCTCATTAACGTTACATATCAAACTCAGATCTGCAGGTTCACTGTTCATCAATAGATAAAATGGCTGTACCCCTGGTTCCTCTCACCACCACTGCAGAGAACTCAGTCAGTAAGTATCTCTACGAGTCGTTTCGCATCAAACCACGCTGAAGGACACTGTTTACACCGCAACCACCGAAATATGCAGTTCTTTGAAAAGTCAGTGGACAGTGGGGATGGGGTGGGGGTTGTAGTGGCACCAACTACCCACAAAAGGGGACTTACATTAACAAAGTGTCTGAGAGCTGCTATTCTGTCTAGATGATGCCTCTGAAATATCCAGAATGTGTACTGTAATTAATTTCAGCTGATTTCTGTTTTCTGCATTTTTTTTTAACCAGAAACTCATATTGTGAGGAATAAACACTTCAAACACACTAGCATATTTATAGTTTCCATGAGCCAAAATCACGATATAAATAACATTATTTGCACATTAATAGCCATAATATAGAGAGGAATTCATGCCAAACAGTGGAGAAACATGAAATGCAGTTCACACACGACGTTACTTTCCCAGTGTCATGCAGAATACATGCCAAATTAAAAACAAACCTCTATTACACTGTTTTCAAGTCGCTTGACCTGTTTACTGGAAAAACTATACACGAGGATTTGCATTTTAAAAATAAAATGCTGAATTCATGTCAGAATTGAATACAATCCACCTTGAAATGTAATAAATGCACAGCTTCATTGTTTTCCACTGTGCAGAACTTCAAACAATGTTTAATTGATGGAATTGATCTTTTACTTCTTTTTTGGTTTTCTCCATGTTATTGTTGCATGCATGTCATGTGTGCATTGCATTTCACTGTTTTGGTTGCATTTCAATGAGGCAAATACATCTGAAGTACCAAAAAAAATATGACGTGAAAACAGCGTAAATAAGTTTGGCTTCATTTTGACACGACAAGTCACATGGGCTGCATTTCACTGTTATGACTGCATTACAAAAAATCTCTTACGTTTTCTTGTGCGAAATAATCAGTCTGATCCTCCATTTGTCAAAAACTTCTCACAACACAGAATGTTTAGCCAGCACTGGCAGCAACCACTGAAAACTCCAGCAGCACTGCTGTGTCTGATCCACTCAGACCAGCGCAACACACACTACCACCCACCACCACATCAGTGTTACTGCAGTGCTGAGAATGATCCACCACTCAAATAGTACCTGCTCTGTGAGGGTCCATGGGGGGTCCTGACCACTGAAGAACAGGGTAAAAGGGGTCTAACAAAGTATGCAGAGAAACAGATGGACTACAGTCTGTAACTGTAGAACTACAAAGTGCACCTATATAGTAAGTGGAGCTGATAAAATGGACAATGAGCGTAGAAACAAGGAGGTGGTCATCATGTTGTGCCTGATTGGTGTATATACTGCATACTGCGGTAATATTTGGAGACTGTTTGAAGTGGATAGCTCCCAAACCCTCATGCATCCCTAATACTAATATTATTTGACATATTGCCCACCCCTACAGTCAGGCCACTTCAGTCCAATGCAGTCACATATTTTTCCCCAGACACACTCAGCACCCTCAGCTTATTCATAACAGAAATAAATTAAGCTAAACAGTTCTGTAGGTTCTCAAACTGACAGCTGAGTGGTGCTATAGTCCAGCCAGAGAGTAGACAGATAAACTGGAGCTCTGGTCTGCCACTAGCAGACTAGGCTGACCCTTTAGCATAGCCGGACACACCCAGTTCACCTTCTCCTCATGAATGAACTTCAGTTTGGGTCCAGTCTTTGTGCTTTTCTCCTGATTTGGATCTGCACTGCTGGCCTCCTCTGAAAGGTCCTCCTCCTCCTTCCTGTCAGTCTTTTCTCCGTCTACCTTGGCATCTCCGTGGCTCTGAGACTTAGCCTTGGCTTTGCCTTTGGGCTTCCTGCGGTGAGCAGTTGCTTTGACCTTTGACCCCTGACCCTTCCCGTCCCCGGCCACCAGGGGGTTCTCGCTCAGATCCCACAGCGACACCACTCCGTCATTACCCCCGGTGGCCAGCCAATACGGGTGGGGCATAAAGTTGAGGAAGTGGGCCTGGGACACCCCCTGGCTGTGAGCCTTTATCGCCCCCTGCTGTTCATGCCTGGACCCCGAGCCCACACGCGTGAGGTGCACGCGGCCATCCTCAGCAGCACACGCAAGCACATTCCCGCAGGATGCCACGGTGATGCAGTGGGCCAGCGGGGGGTTAAAGAGCTGACCTGCCTTCTGCTGGTGCCCGTCCTCCTCCTCGGCCGTCTCCTGCAGACTGTAGGTCCACACCGGCCGAGCTTTCTGCAGGTTCCACAGCATCACCTGAAGGAAAAGAGGGACACAGCGTGAGCAAATGAAGGCTGATTTATACTTATGCACTGAGTCGCAGAGAAAATGCTGATTGGCTGTCTGGTAGCATTGGGGGGTGGTGCAAGACTCAATAATACTAGACCCACACCAAAACTAGTGCAAAATCAAATGAAGCAGTTCTGCTTTGACTGGTAAAAGAGGTCCTACGAACATTTTTCAGACTCATCTTCCCAATATTACAAAAACAGTGAATTGATTATTAGAGAGAGAAGAAAACGTCCCTTTTCGCTTTCTGTACATTCTGGTTCAGACGCTGCCCTCTAGTGCCCACGTTCATGTTGCGTGCAAGTATGTTGGCAGACACCTCTGTGAACATCTGCGCACCAAGTTCACAGATACACAGATGAAGAAATATAATTCAACCCTAAAACTCAGCACAAATACAAAAGCAATTGTAATATTTTAGGATTTTACAATTAAATAAATTGCCAGATGCAACTAATTTTCACTGTAGTTTACACTGTCGCACGTTAGTGAACAAAAGCCTAAAGACTGGCCTGCATTGTTTTGACCAAAACTGTTCATGTCTGTTCTCTAGTTTGAATGCCTTGATTTATCAAAATTCCTCCCAAGATCATCTGTGATTCTAAATGGATGCTAAAAACACAAATAAACCATTCAGTAACTGGTCAGAGGTCTCATTTTCATACCACACTTCAGTGAAGATCGCAGTAAGGAACAATTTGAGCATCACCCAAAGAACATGGCTGTCCTTTTTATCATATGCCTTGGAAAAATAGGACAGCGCAGTATAACATGTTGTACAAACTCTGCTTATCATTATCTTTCGTACAAAGACACTAAATATGAGCAAGCCTTTACTACTTTATGGCCACTAGAGGTCAGCATTGTTTTTCTTTATTTCCACAGCCAAACCTCCATTGTATCTCTGCTTATGTCACTGAAGTTCAAATAACAGTCTATGATTTCCAGATAATTTTAATATATTTAACATGTACATGCAGAACTTGAAGCACAGCCAGTCCATAAA